TGCTTCACTGCCGTACAACCACGATTTATTTGAAAGCCATATTGTAAAGAAAAGAGTAAAGGTGGATGCGGAAGGGACTTAATGCTAGCTTACTACCATCATTTCGCGATACCTACACCTCCAGACATTCACTCAGGCGGTCTGGATGGGAAGTGACAGCAAGAACGCCACTGACATCGGTTGGCAGCCATATCTTGTAGTATCTCCAACCAAGCACAGTGTGGATCACGCAGTCCCCATCCTGGGAGGCGAGTAGCACCCACAGCACCCAAGCGTTCAATGATCTCCTTCATACTCCTCTGGGAAATGAAGGGTTGGCCGTCTCTCTGTTTACTCCACTCCGAATCGGGTATGGAAAACAGCACTCGTTCGATTTAACTTTATACTCACTGCATCTGTTCCTTTCGACGGGAAAGCAATTCCCTACTGGTAGCAATAATGAGCCGAACATGTTCTAGAGTAATCTCTGTTCAGTTCCATTTGAAAAGCCTCCAATGTTACCGACTTATGTCAACTGAGTATCGCCCATTCGAGGCTACTGTGCATCTATATTCTTTAGTTCTGTTTGTCGCCACATTTAGGCCACCATTTGATTGGCTGTGTTGTGTGCACAGCTCCCTGCTTTGACTGAACACCGACGATGCCTTAGGAACGGACGAGCAGGCCAGAACACAAATTTTGGTAAGTTGCACTTTTTGACCACTTATTTAGTATACTTTGCAGGACTGACGAGATCCCCGCTGTTGAAATTCTTTCACTTGAACACAAGTATCATCTACATGGGATCCAAACCTGTCGGTGTGCAACCTTATTCCATCAATGCATACGCTTCGGAGGTTTGCACATTCCTGGGTGTCATAATCGTGGGTTTTAACTCTTTTCCTGACAGAGAACAACTGAACCAAACAAATGTACGATTTAAGGACCACTTTGAAGCCGTCATCTAATTCACCTCTTGGTGTTTTAATAAAACCGCTTGGCTATTCTGAAGGTTCCACATGTTACAGGGCGAAATTCATAGAACCTTTGATCGTATTCCAAACTGCGTGTCTATATTCTGTTGACAAAGTTGATTCAACAGAAGCTAGATTTTAGAAACTCGGCCAATAATATGATTAGTTCATTTGAGAGGGGAGAACTCATATAGTCATTTAATGTTTCTGCCTGAACTGTGTGCATTGTAGTCTATAACTTCACCGTTAAATTTACAACCGGTACCTAGGATTTTTATCGCTAATCTCAAAGTCGGTGTAACTACTGATCGTATTTAATCGAAGTTGAGCTTAATTTGATACGGTGTCACTGAGAATTACTTCTTAACGCTTCGTACTTTTCAGTGCTCGTGTTGTGTAAAATATGCAAAACCAGCTCACATGTTGAATCACCTTTTGTAAAACAAAATTGACCAATTCAACGGCTACACTACTTCATTTGTTAATTAGATGCAAAAAACGATACGTGACGTGTTTGTTTCTGGTCACCGTTCTTGCCAAAAACTCAAAGCGGACACTATCCTCGGATTGTTTTGGTACAAGACGAGTTTCGCGTCAGCACAGGTGCAGTGAACCAGGCGCACTGCGTCATCACGAAGTCGTTTACAACAAACGGCTACTTTGACAGATTCACTTCTGCAACCAAAACGTTCTTCCTACCAGTCGTATTTTTGGATGTATCTATTTTGCAGTTTTTTTTGGGGGAGGGACACGTTAGTCGTAAACAGATTGTCCGAGATTTCTCTCTGTGAACTACAGTCACAACTTGCACAGGTTATGCACAAAATCGATAAATTTTGGTAGATACTCTGAGAATAATGACGTCATGTGGCTCAGAAAAACGGCAATTTTCCCTCCTGGCTCAGTTGGTGAGTCATCATTCGGATAACCTGTCAATTTCTTGCATCCTTATGAAACATACGTGAAGTAAACCAGGCCCGATTTCTTACAATGAAATACCATTACGGGCACACAATCGCCGACGAACCGAGTCGAGTTTGAAAACCTCTTCTGTCAGTGGAAAAAACTGACGGACCAGGTGGTAGCACATCAAAAAGTTCCCTCGTTAATCACACAACCAAACGTCCAAGCAAAAACAAATGTTGACACACCCCATTCATTTGGAAATCGCACATTGGTGTTAACAAGAGACACAAATTAATCTCTTGTTTTTGATAGCAAAATTTGCGTTTTGTCTCGAGCTATCAAAGAATATTTATTTGATAAGACATGCTACTCATATGGCTGAGTAGGTTTGAGCAGTTTACTGTCAGGCGCAAATACAATTAACGAACTCCCGCCCTAGAACGCAAGCGAACCCCGTAAACCATCCCTCATACATGCCTGCTTCTGAGTTTCCATCATTCCGAAGTGTAGTCAGACACGCCGGATACCCCCCACACTCAAAGGACATGTGGTACGAGAACAGAATTTTTACTTTGGTTCGCCACAATGAATTATAGATGACTACCAAGTTTCTGAATTGTAGCCCGGTTACGTGCAACCAGATTTGATGCTATTTTACTCTAGAACGCTTTTCTAGCTTTCAGATCACTCAGTTCGCTAGTCACACTTATTCGAAACGATGCGACAGCTGAGTCATGTTACCATTCAACACAACACACATTCTAGAGATTCTACCAGACATTCATCATTTGCAAGAAGTTGGGTATGTTATGTCATAGAGAACAAGGTTGTTGGCATTCTGTATGTGTCTACAATCTCCATATCTTCAGTCGACCGCAGAGATGTGTGTTCAGTCATCCGGCTAAGCTCAGAAGAAACTACTTGCATTTCAAGGAACACTGAAGTACCACCGTTCTTGGACGTCATCCACGAAGATGACCGGACGCACCCGCTCGCTGCACGCGCATCTTTTGCCAGTGAGTTTACGCGGAACCTAAATCCTTCATTCAAACCTCGAATAGCAGCACACGCAATCAGCTCACTCTAAGAAGAACGGACTTCCCGTCTAACCTGATTTGCCTACAGGATTTCGGGGATAGTCCGACCTCAAAAGCAGAATTCCAGCGAAATGAACCTTTGGAGATTCTGGATACCCATACGCAAGTGTGGAATTTGATATTTTTGCCCACCAATATTTGTGTTGTTGGTCGAGTCTTCTTTTACCTGTGAAACGAGCTGTATTCTCATGTCTGTCGGGTGAAATCTCTCTGGGTACTTATGGTGATAAGCCATTCGAGTGTTCATTTCAGTAAAATTATCTTCGGCATACAAGCAAGTGTGGAATTTATTTAGAATCTTACGGCTGCACACTTCGTTCTAGCCTCATTTTGCGTTTTTGTAGACAGGAAGTTGGAAAGGTGAACCTGAATTGTCATCTTAGGGCGGCTCATTTCCGTGCGTCAATCTGTACCGTACCTCCGGTTGGACACTACAACAAAAATACACGAGAATTCGTTGCGAAAACTTTGAGTCTGTTCATCAATTAATTCAACACAATGTCACGGAGAGTGTGATCGCATCGGAGGTTAACCGAAACTTGGTCGAGTACGATTAAGAACGACATGGAGCGGCTTGATTTCCTTATAATCTACGAAGCCCGTCATCGGAGTTGACAATGGATCACGATTTGCGCAGATCTGGCAGTCGATCGCCGAGATACTTCCGAAGCCGACTAATCCTATCTCCGAAACATCCAAGTTCACGCCAACTTGCGTTCCAAACCTGACAGGTGGTTCTGTGATCAACAGCCTACATAGGGTCTGATTCTTTTGACGAAACCATACTGGGGCCAGCTATGGCTTGCATTCCCCGGACATGAGTGCATTTGCGCTAAATATCAGTATAATTTGGGCGTCTAAAAACCTGGTGTGTCAAATATGTAGTGTCTTGGATTTCGTATGCAACCTAAATGGAGACTTTTCCTAATGTAACGCATCTAGTGTGCAAGAAGCGTGTCACGCAATTTAGGTGCTTGCAAAATTCGGAAGTCATGCGAAGTATGAATGTTCAAATCAATACCCTGCATACAGGAAAAACTTGTTGGTGGATGGCCCACCTAGTGAATTTTTCATATCTTCTGCCTCAAGAGTATCGGTGGACGCGGCTAGACAACGGGGAAGCAGCTTCGTGTAACCTCGGAGTACCCAATCCATCGATGATCGTGCTGCTTGCCATCTGCTTGAACAAAGTGAACCAGCAAACTCGCAACTCTTCTGTTACAAATCGATATCGTATGTGGGACGAAACTGCCACTGTTTCTCATATTGAGGACCCATTGCTTCGCAGAATGTTGGCCTAGGCTGTGGGTGGCACGAGAATATCAGATTTTAATAGTTGAATGAAGTCAGATTACTTGGTGCGTTGAGTTGCTGGTTGCCTTTGATCTGTGTCAGGGCTAAGTGGAATGTGTCATACGCGCTCTCAAGCACGTACCAAAGTTGATCGCGCTCCTCGCAGTTGCTGATGAGTATGACAGCAACGTTCAAATCAACCAATAAATGTCGCTGTGTGAGTTACATGATCAAAACTGTGCTTTACATGCTTTGAGGCCTGAGCTCTTATTCCTGAGACTTTCAGTTTTTCCTTCTGAAGTTTGCACTGCACACAGTCCTGTCATGCGTCTTAGTCTTCACCACAAAATCAATAAAAATCTACCCAAAAATTATGGAGAATTTTGAGCAGCTACCGTATTCAAGTAGCGGAGTGATACGCATGTATATACACATTAGAAAAACTCACCGCCACCGTTTTTGTAACACAGGTAGGGAAATCTCCACACATTGCCCAGTCCGATAGAAAATCCCATGCATGCAATCAAGAAATCAAGTTTCCGTCGCCATTGGTCCCGTAGTAAAGGCTGCTCCAAGTTTTCTGATTCCCACATGCATACCTCTGTTTCCATCTTGTCTTCGCTATTGGCTCGGTCTTCCTTCACAACATTTGTGGCTTCCATTGGTCCACGTGGAGCAACTGAAAGTTTAAGAAAACTAGGATAATGTGGAGAATTTATTCCCTACTTGGTAGGACGCTTTTATGAATCGGATAAGTTGTTCAGCTATAACGCAGCTAATCTGATTACACTTGTTCTATATTAGCTATCGTGATTTGTTTCTTTTTCAGCGGAGGCAAATTCCATTTGCGCTACGAATCCTCTACCCTGGGTAAGCATAAACATCAGTTGGTGATCCCACCTACATTATCTCACCTTTGAAGCCGAGCGATATGTGAAGTCACTAAAGCCGCTCACCGCAAATGGTCCGATTTTTTCGTAGAAAGCAGTCCTTTCTCGATTGTGAAACTCTTTAAACACCATCCTGGCACCAGTGCGAGCTGATTGCTGGTTTCAAGGTCAACACTGGATTTCGTTAATTTGACGGACACTATCTCGTTCCTATTGGTCCACCGAGTACGACAGGAACATATCAGCCAATCACAGAGCCCGATAGTCTGCGCAGGCAAAATGGCTGCTTGAACCTTTGTAAGGTATGTTGGATTGACAGTAGAGGTTTCACTTCACTGACCGATGTTATTCCCGTCCGTTGACTCAATTCGGATTTGAATACGTCTTGCCGAACTTCGGAACTTTGTCGGATTAAACAGCTGAAGTTGATGAATTCAAACTCGGGTTAGGTTTTTCCGTGATTCTTTGCGTTGTATTGTGGGGATTGAGTCGAGAAGCCATTTTTTAAACTGAGTGTCTTCTTTTCGAACGGATACGTGGAAATTCAGGAACAGAATCTCCAGATAAATGTAAATTGTATTTACAACAACCTTAAATGAAATCTTAACAAATCTAAACCTAAAACTTCGACACCCGACAGCGACACGCGACAGCTCACTCACCTGTATTATGCTGCCCTCAGAGATCTGGCATCCCGGTTCTAGCGATGTCGTACCAGAAAGACCCACACTTCTCATAACTCTCTCGCTGTGCGCATTGTCTCAGAAATGTTTCCCCTCGAAGGCAGCAATCCCAGTATTGGAAAATTCCAGAGTCACGTGAAGTAGCATGTGGGTTTTGTTTGAAATTATATTGATCAGCTTGAGGTCAAGTGGACGGAAGCAACAAGTCGTGAGCAATGAATGGATATAGTTTCTCAAGGTGAATACAATACATGCGCTTATAACATGGCGTGCCTCCTGAGTCCTATGGTGCTTGGTACGAATGCAGATGGATATAGATGAGAGACAGGGTTTCTTTGAGCGTTGTTGGTCGGTACAGTATCTAATCCTGGATTAACGTAAACGGAATTTGCTTATTTCGATAATCTGTGCATTACGTTCACGTATGAGGTTATACCGTCCATCCCGAAGGATTCTGTATAGGGCCTGGTTGATAGTGTGATGAGAGTTGGAATTTTTCGTGGAGAGTTCACTCTGTTAGTGAAGCCAGTCTATAGAAGAAACCCAGGGAGCTCTACAGCCATTTCATCCCTATTGGGAATCATCATCACCAGGGACAATGTGAGACATGGTCCGAGGAGCCTGTCAACACGTGTCCACGTGACATGTTTTCTGTGGTCGAGAGATGAGTGGTGCTATACCTTGTCTAAATGAGATATAATCACACGGGTCTTCATCCGCCCGTGGTCGTGGATTCGAGTTTCCCTACCGGACTTTCGTGAGCTATGCACTGCTGATGATCCCAACTAAGGATGAAACGACAGTACGGTGCTTCTCAGCTTTAGAGCAAGGAATGGCTTCACTTACGGAATAAAGTCTCCATTAAAACAACTGNTTTCATCCCTATTGGGAATCATCATCACCAGGGACAATGTGAGACATGGTCCGAGGAGCCTGTCAACACGTGTCCACGTGACATGTTTTCTGTGGTCGAGAGATGAGTGGTGCTATACCTTGTCTAAATGAGATATAATCACACGGGTCTTCATCCGCCCGTGGTCGTGGATTCGAGTTTCCCTACCGGACTTTCGTGAGCTATGCACTCACTGCTGATCCAACTAAGGATGAAACGACAGTACGGTGCTTCTCAGCTTTAGAGCAAGGAATGGCTTCACTTACGGAATAAAGTCTCCATTAAAACAACTGTTTGTTTATCAACTACCACAGTATACTGAGGTTCTCGGCTTGCATCGTCGATATTCCCTCAGCTGGCAACAAATTCTTCGGCCTAATCAAATAAGTCTACCGTCAGTTGATCAACGTTCACAACTATTTTCATGAAAACTTTCGGTGAACAGATCAACTCGTCGACTTCTCGGTTAGACGAATTTGTGAATATGGTCCAAGAAATATGGAATGAAGCTCGATCAAGTCTTTCTAATCACTAGGTACCTGCCTCGTAACGCGTGTATCCAAAGCAACAGTCCGTGAGGTTCTCGGTTACGTGTGTGCTAATTGGCCACCGTTTATAAGGAAAACAAACGGCTGGTGTCCGGGGTACCTGAATAAAGTTGGAAAGGCTGACAAAGCCAGAGAACAGAGCTCTGGCCGTCCGTCACGGCCATGGCTTCAATAATCCCATGAATTCAACTGAAAAACCTGAAAGGCAACTCTGCAAAATTGTCCTGACTCCAGTACCATACCAAGGGTGTCATCTGGTCCTTTAGTACATTGAAGAATGTGGATCAGCACCGCTAGATGATAAGTGGACCTGTTTGGTCCCAACTAATATCAGGAGAGTAATTCTGTTTGTGCGGAGCTGATGATGATGATAATAATGATGATGCGATCAGTACTGTTGCGAGAGACCACAGTTGTTTGGAAAGTTCAAATGCTCATGAAAAGTAAATGCTCGATTGTAGAAAGACACACCTTTTCAGATCAATATGGTTTTTACAGGAGACTCAGCTGAATCACTCGTTTGTGTTATTCTTCAACTGGATATGCTGCACAACGACTGCCTCATGTTTCACTTGGCAGAGGTAAACGAGAGATTTAGCTGGGTCCAAGTTGTCTCTCGCAAAACCAAACTTGTTTGCAAACGAGTGTCCTTCGCTAATTTCATGCAATTTGGTTTCAATTAGAACATAAGGTTGACGAAACTCGGGATATGCACCTACCTGATGACCCCCAATAAGGGCGAAACCGGTCGTGGGCTTTCGAAGAGTTTTCAGCAGCCATTTAAGTAGCCTTCTAAAGTCTCAGTTGTCACAAACACCAAATTTTACATTAATTCTCAAGACTCTGCTGCTTTCCGCTCCGATATAAGCACTGCATACAGTTTCATACAGGTGTGATAACGTCGTGTGGTTACCTGTGAACTGTCCTCGTAGTTGTCAACGCCTTAACTACAAACGCCGATTATTTCGAGCCCTAAAGACTGGATTCACAGCTTGTTGAATTTTGAACGTGCATTTTACGGATTACAGGATAAAAATATTCAAAAAAACGTCCTTTACTGGTCCACTCCATGTGCCCTTTCAAATTTTATTCAGCAGTAAATGTTTTCCCCAAACTAGTGCATGCGTACTTAAATAAGCTCAATGTCGTCTGTCTGAGCGGTTGGAGGTGTAGGTACCTCAAAATGCTTGACTTAGGTCAGCACTAGTTTCCCACCCTCACCCACTCTCTTCTCTTTCCACTCTAGGGCTATATATATATATATACATATATGTATAACTAGACGAACCTTATGGCTGTATGACAGGAAGCATCCGTGTCAACTCTTTGATGAGGATAATGATGGGACTCCTTGCACTACTCGACAAAATTTCGTGTGCCGATAGTACATGGTAATTGCAAGCACAGTCGCGAGAAACTGCCAGCGGCTATCCCACGATCGTTGGTCAGATTCCAAGTTTGTTCCGACTGGGCTCCAGCTGAAACGCAATACTGAATTTTAAAGCAAATCCCATGGAACATTTTTCGCCCCAGCTTATCCATTCCGCTGTTCAGCAACGCCCATGGCGTTACCTTAAACTCACCATGAACTTCTTTCTCGTGTCTTTCGTCAACATTAGGGAACCTTTGAAAGTGGTACGTGGAACACCAATTTGGCACTTTCCAACCACAGGAGTGTACACTTATTTTATGAAATTATCGCCAGCGTAGCTACCACAGTGTGTACTACAGGTGCTGTTATCAGTTTTCTAGGGATCGACATGCGTCTGGGGCACTGAACTAAACCCAACTAGGTCGGTTCGAGCAAACTTATCTCCTGAAAGAACGTGTAGTTTCGAAAGGTTGTCATTTGACGACTGTGTGATCACCCTACTCAATCCACAGCAGTATGATGTCTGGAGATGATACTCGACCAATAAAATAAAAACTTGAATTGTTTTACGGAAAACATATCCAAACCACTTGTAAGGCATGGAATCGCGATATAGCTGCACAGTGGTGCACTTCCCGTTTGTGGTCGAACTGGGAAATACGGTATCCTGAATCTATCGATCAAATATCACCCATCACTCTCTTATCGTTGATTTTACGCTACTGGTCATGTGACTTGGTGGCAGTATGTCACGGGGCGTTTGCCGATCAATAAGGGTTGAAGGAATAAATCCCATAAGACCGAGGAATCCCGTCATCATATCCTGCTACTAATGTAAGAAAAAATATGACCGATGCATTCATGGGTCGAATTTCGTAAGTTTCCTTGACGTAGTAGGTCGAATGACATTTTTGGTCACCTGAACATCATCATCTCCCAGTCTTGAAACGTGTCCACCCAAATTCATTCATTTCATGAATGCACACTGACCTTCGTGACCATGAGAGCAACTACACCGGAGGGTGAAACACACAGCCTCGGGAGCACGGGACGCCATTACGATCGAAACGTATCACATACAAATTTGAATATTCTAGAGAAAACACGGGACGTCTTTTATGGAGCAACATCTTACTGGCAACATAGGTGTGTTCAGTTTGATGATTCAAGTGGCACGCTATGCAACTTCGAGCGTACGAGTAACTACTGTGTGGACTTTGTTATCTTTAGGCATGCTTCGAATGTATCGGCTGGGACAGTTACACTGGATTCTGAGAAATCTATTGACGTGTCTTGCTGATGGGGTCAGTCACCGGATTGTTCTACTTGCTCAGTAAAAATCGGCACATGTACCACGTTCCGCGAAAAATGCCATTTTAGTGCGTGCCCGTTTACATCGCTTTTGGAAGGGTTGAATAGCATTATTTGGGTGAGTCCCTATAGTGACTTACTGAAAACCCCCTCTAGGAGAATTCAACTTTCCTCGACTAATAATGCAAGCCAGAAAATTTGGGTCAACAAATACTGTGGCGTACCAACCCTTATCATCATGATCATCATCATCTTCATCATTATCATCATCATCATCGTTGTCAACTGTAAGAACCGCGTTCTTGTCGTACAGTGGTTGTAGCTGCCACATCTTTGTTCACCGATGATTAGGGAAGTGGGGGTAGATAACTGCACGCTGGAGGCGGGAGATGATAAATTCGTGCGTAAACACCACTGTAGGTAGACTGTCAGTTGGGGGAAAAGGGTAGGGAGCTATGCATTGGAGGTAATAGTATAGATGCGTGAGGTCACTGAGGGCGCGACTGGCTCATATCTGACAACGTCTTTAGCCACTGATGTAGCAGGTCCCGGGGTTCCCATCCAGGAAGACGGTAATGATCAGCGCAGCTGAGTTTGCTGGCAATGGTTTTTATACTTCGCTGCCAAGTTTTCACTCTTCACGGGTTGTGCGAAAGTAACTCTTCGAGGAACTCGGTCGACTGGCAAACGCGGCACGTGGCCAAGCCAGCGCAACCTATGCAATGCGGTCAGTTCATCTATCGAAGGTGAGTTATTTCTTCCGAATACCATTCGACGTACTTCAGCATCGCCGCTAAGCCGATGATAAGTGTTCCGGTGCTCTTCCTAATATGTAGGCCCTGAAAGTGGATTATGTATGTTCACTCACGCCGTTCCACTTTCTCAGGTTTGGTTAGACATCAAGGCAGGGTCACACTCGGTTTCACGCGAACTGTCTGTGGATTGCAGACTGTAGGGAAGCGCTCGTT